AGACAGCAGGGTTACAATTATCAGTTATTCGGATTCCATCAAAATCTGATTTGATTGAGTTTAATACGGTTTCACTATCATCATCGTCGTCACTACCCATCTCAGTTGGAAAACTAAATTGCGTTTCACCAGCGACTTGGTCTGGTGCATAATTGGTTTCATCGTCATCCTCTTCGTCTAAGTCGAACTCTTCAATAAAATCATGCTCCAATAATGAGGAATAATCAATCATTCTTGAATTTCTCTTCAGTACATCGGAAACATGCTTACTTAAACTATTTATACCATGTAACCCTGACTTTTCTAATATCTTCAATATCTGCGAATGCTCAACAAGACCTATCGCTTCGTCGTATGCGATCGATATTATTTGCACAATATCCAACGTATCAATGGCATCTAACGAAGACAGCGATGTGGCCAATGATTGTGCATGTTTGCGCTTGTAATGAGTACGGAACGATAATTCTTTCTGCAATGAATTGTATTTTATCTGATTCAATATCGATAGTTTTTTTGAACGACGAATGAAATCTTTCACCGTAAAATTGATTGTTGAAGAGAACGTACCACTTAAGGATCTTGCATCTCTAAAAATTGCTTCACATGGTTGTGAACTGAATAGATGTATATTGATCAGCGCTTGTTTGGGCAATTGTTTCTCTTGCACTAACAGAATCAGATACGGCAGATCATGAGCATTGAGCTCAACAGACATGTATGCTGGTCTCGTGATGAAACATTTGCTAGCTTCACTGATTCTGTCATAACTAGTTGTAACAGTTGATGATACTTTATTAGATGATGCTTTTTGTACCCAGGTTGATCAATCCCGTACTCGGATTCGATCGGATACAATATAGGATTTTATCGGATCCTACAGGAATTCGACGGATCCGATGAAATCCGGGTGACGGAATCGCATTGGATTCCGATGGTCTCGAATCCGAAACATGAATTTTTCGGATTTTCTAAGGGTCATCATAGAATATAGCTAGAAAGATCGCTCATAAAATTTGCAATAACCGACTGAATTTTTCTAGTCGGATTCCGATGCGATTCCATTTCCAGAAATCCGATCGGATTTACACGTCATCAATCAACCTTAACAAGGATCAATCATCTGGTGGAACAACTATCTCAATCGCTGACATACAACTCGTTTGTGGTGGTAGTGTACGTAGACTTCCTACAGGCGTTCGATATGCTATGGTATCCCGGACTAATATGGAAATTAAACAGGTTACAATGCCTGTCCGCGTACTTACTCTGGATTATTAACTACCCAGGTCGAAACCACCCTACCGGATCCTGTTGGATCCCTAAACAATACGTCAACATCCGACAGTCAGATCCGATAGGATTCCGACGATGGGATTCCGTGCACATCCTTCAGTTTCCGCTTACATCCTGCCGTCGGAATATCCAGGATTCCGACAACAGGATCCATATATTTCCGACACCTGGAACCTGTTGGATCCGACTGTCGGAATGTGTCGGACTCAACAGTGTATTGCACCATCAAGTATTATGTGAGTTACTCTAGGCAGTTATTATTCCTGATAGATTTTCAACGATGATTCGGCGATGAAAGGCCTTCTATAACTGAAATTTATCAGTATATTTGCAAACCGTAGATCTTCAACATCTGAAGAGATTATATGTAGATTTTAGTGATCTCTATTTACACTACATGTAAATGGCCAGTAGGTTATACAACGATTTACATGAACAAGGTTCATTTCTTTGAAAGTATACGTTCATTTTTACTTTCGTGTTATTCCAATTTGAATCGAAAATTTTTTTTAGTGATATTTTTTTTCTATTTTTCATTTTAGGATCGAATATCAGAATTAAAATTTTTGTTTTTTCTACTGGTCAACGATAACTAGCAGATACTGCAAAAATTCAAACTTTTTTCATGGCATGTGCTTTTTACTTGTACTAATACTAAGCAAGACGAGATAGTGCTGGTAAGTAACTCTTCATTTATCGAATATGTACTTCTTTTGAGATTCTAGTTACCCAGGTAAGAAGTTTTTAACTCTTATTTGTTTTCTGTTTAGAAAAGAATTGTCCATGTTTCAGTTGTCTTTCATGCATCTATTTTTCGTCATTGTAAAATAGTTTTTTGTTGTTTTTTATGCAAACAAATTGAAAATAAATGCTAAAAAAAGTGAATAAAAAACAAATAATTGTAATCAGAAAAGTCTGTAAAAACCTATCGGATCCTGTCCATTCTGGGATTTTCCGACTATCGGATCCGGGTGTCGGAAATTGTCGGATCCGTCACCTCAGTACTTCCGATCGGATTCCTGTACCAAAGATTCCGACGATTTCCGACACGGATTTTCTCGGATGTTCTAGGAAGTTATCGGATTCCTGAAGGAATTTGCCGGATTTAGTAGGTTTTCCGACAAGACCCGATGGGATCCGGCGCCCGGATTACTCGTCTTGGATACTTCAAGGACAGGACACTTACTATTGACTATCATGAATATCGTTCAAGGCCGATCAACGTCTGCCGTGGAGCTCTACAAGGGTCGTGTTTCGGCCCAAAAGCATTCATTGTCAATCATTATGATTTACCTATGAACTTTGAAAACCCAAGTGCAGTACATTTGTACGTCGATGATCTCACGATAGTGTACATTCCACCAATCTCACAAAAATACGCAATCCAAAAGCATACGATACAAAGTCTCATCAACAAGGACTTGGAAAAACGACGAATCTATACGGAAGATAACCTACAACCAGTGAACGTGAAGAAAACGGAGTACGTAATATATCACACATCGGTACAACGTCCGAAACTCGAAATCATGTACTCAGGTCAGACCATCCATAGACAAAAATCGTATAAATATTTAGGTTTTTACCTCGGCGCCAATCTGTCGCTCAGATCGATGCTACACGCACAATTTATAAAACTCAGAAAGCCATACAAAATTATGAAGTACATTCATGGAGCCTTCTCAATGTTCTTCAAGTTGAAAGAAAAGTTCTTTCAGACGTACGCACGGCCACACATGTACTCGATGCCACCATTTACTGCTTATTGTCTTCAACCAATCAAGAACATATTAACGCATTCTATAGAAGATGCAGTAGAATGATCTACAACACTTTCAGAGCCAAATCCAAGCATCTACACACGTCAATGGAGATCCCAACTCTGGATCCGAGATTTCGAAGAAGTCTCCTGGGAAGACTGGATAGTATACAACGATACGAGCCCGACAGGGTGAATTGTATCCTACAACACAAGAATATCATGAACGGTGTTAGGAAACACTACAACACAGCAGCAATCATCAAACTGCTTCCAGCTGGCCAACCGCCCAAGAGGATAAGAGCCCTCAGATCGGACCATGCCACTGCGTTCTTTGATAAATTATGCGAATTTGCATGGAAATAATCTAGGATCACGCAAAAACGAAGTGCCAACTGCCTACACCTCCATACTCGAATCTCACATCATCATTTCCCAACAGCAATTGGCCCGCCGTTAGTAGCTTACTTCCTTCCAGGGCTGCCATCTGTACCCCATTTGGGGGTACAGTACCCCATTTCGACAATTTGTACCCCAAAAATATTTGCACCCCAGAGGTACAATATTTGTACCCCATTTTGGATAATTTCTTTTTGTATACGATTAAATCATATTTTGCTATAATTAATAAATTTATTGACTATAATTAAGGGGCAACAAACTGATTTCCAGCCAAAAATCATAGAGAAATCAGCAAGGGGAAAAGAGCGGAATCCTGAATGTCTGAAATCGAATGGAATCCGATGAAATTCTAAACTGCAATATTTCATGATTTCTATGATTTTTTAAATATTTCATATGGAATCCATGGAAATTCTGCAATCACGATTCCGCTCTTTCCGCCTTGGAAATCAATGGAAATCGCAGAAATCATTATATCTGATATATTTAGCTCCAAGATTTCAGGTGATTTCTCTTAATTCTCACTGATTGCACCTGGAAGTCGACTTCTTTTGAAAGCAATGGAAATCAGTTTGTTCTACCTTGATTATAATTGAAATTTTCATTTGCATAGAGGCATGAAGACTCAATTCTATTGACCAAATAGATGACAAGGGCAGAATATTGCTATTCTTATTTTTAGGATTTGTACCTCTTTGTCTTTTCTAGTTTTACTCACGCAATCGAAATATAATCATGTTCCTTATCAGCCACAGTTTTCTATCTTAAAATTCCTAACTGAAACAATTGATACTGAATTAACGACACGATTTACTTAGTACCAACGTGAAATCAGAAGATTTTAATTTTTGCGCAATCTCCCTCAGAATTAATCAAATTTGCGGAAATCAAACCGGAACAGTTATGTGAAATACGATTATTAGCTAATGCAAACGTAGAACATCTACTTTGAGTGGATATTTGTTATTAGTTTTTGAACAGGTAGATATTACGAGAAGATATGTATATGTAACCAGTTGTTTTAAAATGAAAGCTAGAACCTGAATAGAATTTTCAAAACGAACAAAATTTGTAAAATCTTATACGGTCAAAACAAGTGTTCAACATCGATTTCACATTCACAGCTATTGTTACCCAAAAATAAAATGTGTACCCCACAAGTGTACCCCATTTGAAGCAGTATTGTACCTCACTCGTACCACATTTAGAATTTTTTGTACCCCATCTCGACCCTGAACAGATGGCAGCCCTGCTTCCTTCTCGATTGTTCTAGTCATTATTGGCCTCGGCTTCTAGCTTATTAGTGTCATTGTATAGAGGAATTGGCTGTCAGCACCTCAGGGATGAATCGGCCGTAATAAATTCCGGCATTATAAAAAAAAACTCGTCAAACCAAGATGAACAACTCAATTCGCATACTAGACGTTCAATTGAAATCAACTATTCATGAGCTCCAATGTAGTTGGCAGCGGCATCTTTCGAAACTCATTTCTCGGCACTGCACATATAAACCAAACGAAATACATAGATAAACCATGGACAGAAATCAGTTGAATTGTTCCGGTAAGATTCACTCAGTCTTATCGCATATCTCTTGTAGACATATGTAATGGTGTTTCACTTCAGACANACAAACGACAGGATGTGAACGAGAGACGAGCTGACTCGTGGCAAAGTTCCGAATGAAACAGTTTTCTCATCTCTTGTGACTGTTTCATGATCCATTTCTTATACTTTTCGAAGAGAACATTCTCAAAGGTTATCGTTTATGTGACACTCTCATATGGCCGAAAGACAATGAAAATAAGAAGTTATTTCTATTTGTAGTGAAGTCCGGTGACTTGAAGAGTGCAATCGGTTTGTTTAACTCAATTCAGGTGAAGACGAATCCACTTTATAGAACTTTGTTCAAAGGTAGATTTTTATTTAACTGATTGCAAAATAAATCTGTTCTGATGTTTAGGACTGATATCAATGAAAAAGTCGAAAGAAGTGTTGAACTTGTATGAACAGAACAAAATGAAGTTAGACGAAGGTGTATTTGCGATAGTGTCAAAGGCATGTTCTGAAATATGTGATGATCGAGCGAGAAGAATTGGAAAACAACTGTTGGATAATTTACCCTCAAGTTTGAGATGTTCAGATTCAGTGATGAATTCCATGATCTTCATGTTGATGAGATTTGGAAACGTCGATGAAGCTGAGCAACTCGTTCACCAGATGAAACACAAATCTATCTACACTTATGGTGCCATGATGAAAGGTGAGTAAAACTTTTCGATTGATGAAAAACACCCATTCGATTCAACTTGATCAAATTCGTTTAGGTTATAACGATAATAAAATGTTTGCGAAAACATTGGATCTGTTTGAGACCTTACCATTAGTTGCAGACGAAGCGATCTACGCGATGGTTTTAAGCTCTTGCTCTCACCTTACAAATGACCGTGCGAGAAGAATTGGAAAACAGTTAATCGATAATTTACCTGAAGATTTGAAAGGTTCTGAAAACGTAATGAATTCGATGATCTTTATGTTGATGAAATTTGGAAACATTGATGAAGCTGAGCAACTCTTTCGTCAGATGAAACACAAATCTATCTACACTTATGGTGCTATGATGAAAGGTGAGTCATATGCTTCACTTAACCATAAGTATTCGATTCCATTTGCTTAGGTTACAATCACAACCAGATGTTTGAAAAAGCACTAGATTTATTTCTTCAAATGGATCTGCCTCCTAATGAAAATATACTAACCATCATCTTCAACACATGTACACATCTATCCAATGATCCAGCATTACAAACAGGAAAAGAACTTCTGCGCAAAATGAACAAGTCCTATTATAACAATGATATCGTCATCACATCAGCCATTCATATGTTGATGAAATTCGATCTGGTCAATGATGCTGAACGTTTGTTTCGTCAAGTCAAAACAAAAAGTGCACTGACTTATCATGCAATGATCAATGGATACANGAAAAGTTGGCGATTGCATTCAACTTCATTCAACAACCACCTCCTTCCATCATACAAATCAGTAAAAATCTTCGTATTTGTGGTGATTGTCGTAAGTGAACAATACTGGCAGTAAAATTCAGTCATAGTTGTGCTTCTCTTAGATGCTGCTACGAAACTCATAACGAAACTGCGTCGGTGTGAAATCATCATTCGGGATGCAAATCGAATTCATCATTTTTCCAATGGAGAGTATTCATGTCAAGATCATTTCTGAATCGTGGTTTCTTCTCTCAGTCAGATGGTGTTTGTTTCATGAACCAATAAATGAAATGAAAAGTTGTTTTTGTCGTCAAAAGGTAGCTGTTCCCTTTTCTGAAAGAAAGGGTTATACAGCGATTAAATCGGCGGCTCGAAATGCTAAAAGTTTGTCTGTCTGTCTGTCTGTCCAAGCCAATCAGAGTACAGCATTTGACAACTCAAAGAAAACTTCACGATGGTCATACGGGAATGACTCACCATATGTAATCGAGGCCGGGGATTTCGAATCCGGTGTCAGTTTCTCGAAATTCTTATTAGCTAATTACTAATTAGGAAATGAAAATTTTCGTTGTTGTCGAGTAAGGGTCGACCGAAGGGTAATGGAGGTCGAGGAACTCGAATCCGCGGTTAGTTTCTCGAAATTCTAATTAACTCATTAGCCAATTAGCTAATTAAGCGATGAAAATTTTCGTTGTTGTCGAGTAAGGGTTGACCGAAGGGTAATCGAAGTCGAGGATCTCGAATCCGACGTTAGTGTTGATTAATTATTTATTAGTTTTTTATTAACTAGCCACGACTTATCAACATCCATTGTCAGAGTAGACCGAAGTTTTTCTGACGTCGGGAAATTCGAATTTGAGGGTGAATTTCGTTTTATTCGCTGAGCCTGAGCTTGTTCCTTCCTCTTTACAAAGGAGATATTTTTCTTTATCTGTTCTGAAATCTTTTGTAGAAGATGGTGAGCTGAACGCTATTCATGGACCTCATGTGTACAAAGATAGTAGCTCCAGAACTTACGCGAAAAGATCTAATGCATTGTACATAATGATGTTTCTAATTCAAGAAATCCGAAGAAGTGATATGAGCTTACTATCATCTTTGCTTTGTAGCCTACATACGTCATGTCCTTTCATGGGGAATTTAGTAGAAGTAGTTCGCAAAGCGATGTACCCGTCGGTGGAATTCCATCTTAGTAACTACAGACGCGTGGACTGTAGAAACAGTATTCTGAACACATGCAGCGCTATGAAAGATGTTCGTTTCGAAGCAAATCATATAATAAGACTTTCTTATCTAGTTTCTTTGGGTAGTCGAATGAATAGAAGATCATGACTGTTGAAGCGACAATAAAAGAAAACCCAATCGTTCAGTTTGGAAGTTGATCAAAGGCGAAAGGAATAACAGAAACAGCATGGCAACGGCTAGCCGTGAGTGACCGACCGGAGGGAGGTCCACGAACGACTACACGTTTGTTTTGAAAATTACTTGGAAGATGAGATTTATCACTGTCTCAACTAAAGTCAATGGTTTTTGAACGAACGTAATTGATGTGTTTTCGAGCTTCGAGAATAGGGATTGCACATTATCAGCGCTTCAAATTCAACAGAGCAATAGAATATGTATTGTAAACTATACAGTTACGAAGGGTTTTGATAACTTCGATCACAGATCGACTCAGTATCAGCAAGCTACTTGTTTATATAGAAAAACTATGAAAGCTGATCATGTGCGTCAACGGCTAGCCGTGAGTGGCCGACCGGAGGGAGGTCGACGAACGACTAGGCGTTTAAATACTAGAATAATCTTGCCAGGCTTCAGATAATTTTGAAAAGGATTTGACGAATGGGTCTTCCTCAATGAAAATATTCGACAAGGTATCATTTTGTTGACAGGGGAGAAAACAATCGGATTATCGCTGGAAGACACAGGCGAATGTTCAAACTTTTCAAGTGGTCTGCTGTATATCGTCCGTCTATGAGTGACTTCGTACAGCATTTATGAAAATTTCCATGCGCGTGATGTGAAAATAGAAAAACAGATGACAAAGGTCAATGGTTGGCCGTGGGTGGCCGTCTGACTAGCCGTTGAGCGATGACTTTTTCAGTCAACATAATTAGTGCTGGAGAATTATCCACTGACAAATGGCTAATCGGTCTCATTCCTAAAAAGACTTCTGCATCCTATTCGTTCTAGTGTGTGACATAGTGTCATGGTTAAGTTGAGCACTAGTAGCAATCGCAGTGCGTTTTTTCTCTTTCAAAGTCTCTGAATGTGTTCAGCATTTGGAAAAGTCTTTCAGACAAGGGTCAGCGAATTCAAAGAATGAGCGTTACTTGTAGATAACTTATGTTCCAGAAACGAATTTAACATTTCAAGGCTTTTCACAATGTGGATAGCATGGGCTGTAGCTATATTCTGCATTGTTATCATTGGGGACAGAGGCATAAGATCGTTCAGAAGATTTGTTTTAAGAAAATATTGTTTTCCGACCATACACGCCGATTGATGTTAACATGGCTTTTCATGACTTTTTTCATCCACAATTGTGTCATCTATTTTTCGCCCTCCTGCTAATAGACAGAGCAAACCTTCGCTAGAATCAATGCAATTTTTAATGAAAATGTGAAGGATAAACTAAGCGAATACCAATCACAAGATTATTTCATTGAATTTCGATTGACTGGAGATGATGAGTGCACTTTCATGATTGTTTGAAGATCCTTGTCCAGTCTTCTATCGAAGTATCAGCTGACAATATTCATTCAATGAAACTGTGGATGATTGAACTGAATCCATTGACGGAAACAACTGATGAAGCGTCTTTCAGTTGGCAACACACGAATCATCTAATACAAGGTGAATGTTAGGAGAACGAAGGAAGAACACTATTTCGTGTAACAGTAGAGGCCCTCGCAGGCTCATGGACTATATTACACAGACTCCATTCGACAGTGGATAAAAGCAATGAAGTGTTTGAACCAGAAAAACTTATTCTATTCATAGTCAATTATCTTCCGTTATGAATAAAGAGTTGGTCAGAAGAATTACTGGAAGTAGAACGTAAACCGAAATAGATTGGAGACTCACACGTCTCCGAAACTTGAATTGAGAATTGTGAATTATTATTCACCATATAGCAGAAAATGTAATTCAGGATATATTTCATTACAGCGATAAGGGAAGAACAGAAAAATTGCAAGCATATCATTGATTCGAAAGAAGTTGAGAGAAGAGCTCTGTTGAACACAAAACATGTTCCATTCGAACATTGAAAACAGAAGTAATCTTGAAAATGATATTGGCTGCAGCGTGTGATGCTAGGTTCTTTGATTAGTTCTGGTACCGATATCGTCAAACCAAGATGAACAACTCAATTCGCATACTAGACGTTCAATTGAAATCAACTATTCATGAGCTCCGATATAGTTGGCAGCGGCATCTTTCGAAACTCATTTCTGTGCAATGCACATACAAACCAAACGAAATACATAGATAAACCATGGACAGAAATCAGTTGAATTGTTCCGGTAAGATTCACTCAGTCTTATCGCATATCTCTTGTAGACATATGTAATGGTGTTTCACTTCAGACANGCCATTGTGTTTCGTAAATAAAGCCACATATACAAGAAATGAGTCCTACGAGTAATATAGATATCGAGAGAAATGTGAGATTCTCATCGAGACGTGTTTCGTCGATGCGATCAATTGAATCGAGTATGATCGAAGAATAAGAAGAACGATTAACACAACCACAAATCGTCGCTTTCCAACGAATTAAGAGTCGAAAATTAGTAACAATAACAATTGCTTTGGTTAATTGAGAACGTTCATGACCTTCGTATTTACCCACAATTATTTCACTGTCAGACAAAGCAGGAAAACTAGTATCGTTGTCCATCGGCAATCTAAGTACTAATAACTGTATAAATCGAAAGTTGTAGGAGTAATTGATATTACCAATCCTTTCAATACATTTATGTACTGGCTTATCTTCGACATATGGATATTTATGTGAGTGAGAAAAGAACCTTAATCTGTAACGTGATCGAATGACGAGAAGAGAAAAGAAAAAGATAACCAGGTGCAGAATATCTCCCGCACGCAACGCTGTTAATTCGTGATGAATAGAATAAGAACAGTGAACGCAAGCCGTGGTTAGTGTCTGATAATTTGAGTTCACCGAGCTCGTTAGGTCAAATGAGAATGTATACGTAATGTTGGAGATGTGATGATTATCTTCATTGCCGATATATTCGCACGACTTCAAGTCCTTTCGATTTTTGGACACTCCAAAGCTTGCAACATTTCAGTATTTGATTAGATCCGAATTTATCCACAACGGAAGTTTGATGCTTCGAGTGATAAACAGAATTCCATTGAAATGATCTACTTTGACGAGAAGGCTTTTTTCTTTTTTCAGACTTCTATAGTTTATCCTATTAAAAATTCGTATCTTGTCAGTGTTCGTGCATGCTGGACAGTATTCGAACATCCACTTTTGTCGTGTATTGATGAACCGATCACAACTTCAAAGCAAAACAAGTTACAACGTTTTCGAACTGCTATATACAATTCAAAAGCTATTCAAGAGAAATTAACATGTTTTTTAACTCCTTCTTCGAAGTGTATTTATTTGATGCATCCATCAACATCAATTATGTGTTTTACAGTGTCAGTTGATGTCAATGAATGCTATACGAATACTTTTAATGAAGAATTATTAGTGTCAATGAAACTACGCTTGTACTTATTACATCGTCTTACAAATCGCATTGTTGTCTAAAGAAAAACACACAATAATACTCCTTCATCAAAGAGAGGTAAAAAATATCCAAAATACACAGAGAGATTTTTCCAGACTTTTCAGAAATGCATAACATCGGCTGTTTCGCGTTATTGTATGAGAGAAAAATCATGTTCTCGAAATGACAATGAGATTGTTTTCATGTACGTACTTTAGCGAGAAACGACGAGAATGAAAGATTAATTAACTATGGAATACGGCGACTATTGTACTTTTTAACCTTACACCTTAAATAATTTCAGAAAGTGAAAAGCAATATACCTATTCTTGCAAGACTCAACGAAGAGGGATATGCGATGCATATTCTCCATGAATTCATCAGAAAAGGAAATAGAAGTCGTTGCATATACTTAATGAACTATTCACAAAATGAATACCACGATAGATAAGACATTCTTTCTCTAAATATCATTAATGCTTCTCGTGGACTACAAAAGAGTATTATTTCTACATCCGCGATCTCACCCCATCCTCAGTGATCCTGTCTCTCATTTAATATCACTGAGTTTTTCTTTATTAACGAAACATTCGCCTTCTCCGATCCATCACCCACAAAACCAATAATCGATAAGCTGGTTTCATTAGCAATCTCTTCACTTTTCTTTAGCGGACATTTCGAACCAATTCACTTGGTCTCTACACTCTCTAAGGTTCTTTCGCTAAACTTGTTTCCAGGATATCTTAATCGATTGACAGGCAATCTTCTTTCGACCGTGATGAACAAATTGGCATGTAAATTCAAAATCCTCTCAGTATGATATTTCTCTCACAATTATCATTAAATCTGTTAATAATGTCCTTGATTGGCCGGTATGCGTGAACCTTTGGCTCAACATCTCCAATGTCTCGGCTTCTTCGATTAAAAACGGTTCCGTGGATGATTTTCATCACGACTATCATCGGCTGTGTCGCATCGTTGTATTCTCCTTTTTTGTATGCTTTGTACCTGAATCTGGCTGCATCGCAATATATCCAATGGTGACGCTGACTTTGGTATTCTTCACTTATAAAAGATTGAAGCAAAGACCACGACGAATTGTGAGTATGCTGACAGATGATTCTAAAGCAAATCTTCTATGCTGTCCAGGCTCCACTAACAATTGTCAATCACAGTCATCGTCGTTGCAATCAATTCAGTGAAGTGGTATTTACTGAAGTGTTTGTCAGCAGTTTTTTTTTGTATTGTTCTGGATTGGAACGTATTGGTATTTTTCGACGATACGGAACAGTAATCGAAGCGCAGAAGAATGGGCAGTCATTTATTTTATGTTGAATCTAGCAAATAACCTGTACTACGTGATTAATGGCAGATCGTTCTATTTATCAACATTGACATCTCGTTTATTCCGAGAAGCAATGGTCACAGGCTTTTTAAAACGAGTACGTCGAAATCTTCATTGACATGATGGCACAGAAAATTGGTTCACCTATATATTACGTACATGTTACACTTGCCTAGGACAACGATAATTCGAATCAGTGTTGACCTATTGCATCGTTTCATAGATCAAATCTATGCACATGTTCTTTATACTGTATGTTTAGATCTTTTTTCAATAAAAAAATTTATTTGAAAAGAAAGGAAATGAAAATGATTCTGTCCTTAATTTGAACAGGTTTTCATGACAATATCAACGTTTCCATATCCATCATTAGTAGCAATAATATCCGTTAAATTATCATTGTTGACGTCTCCAACGGTGAGTGAATATGGATATGAACGATAACCAGTATTAAATATTAAATCATCGCTAAAACTTCCATTGCCATTACCAAGAAAGATTTGAATATTACTTGAACCATAATTGGCTACAGCAATATCCAAATAGGTATCATTATTAAAATCTAACACAGCTACAGAATTTGGCCTTGAATGAATGCCAGTAAAATAAGTTCGTTGATTTTGAAATGTTCCGTTCCCATTTCCGAGAAACAAACCAACATTGTTTGTACCAGAGTTTGCGACAATTATATCCAAAAGAGCATCATTGTTAATGTCAGAAACAACAACTGAACATGGATGGGAGTCAGTATCAGTTGAATAGCTGATCTCGTGTGTAAAACTACCGTAACCTGATCCAAATAGTATTCTGATAGTATTTGTCGAGTTATCAGCAATAACAACATCTAGTCGAGTATCGTTATCAAAATCTCCAACAGCGAGAGACGTTGGTTGTGATGATGATCGTTCGATCGGATAAGACGGTGCACTGATGAAATCTTCCTGGACATAGCCGAAGAATAATCCAACATTATCAGTACCTGAGTTAGCAACAACAATATCCAAACGATGATCAGAATTAAAGTCAGTTACTGCAATAGCTAGTGGTTTGGAAGAATCTCCAGTAGGATAAGTTAGTTGATTGAAAAATGTTCCATTATTACATCCAAGAAATACTCCGAGGGTATTTGAGCCGTAGTTCGCAACAGCAATATCAAGTTGAGAATCATGATTAAAGTCGCCAATAGAAATTCCATATGGCGCAGAGTCCTTGCCTGTCGAAAGAGGCATTTGATCAGAAAATGTACCATCACTATCGCCAAAGAATATGCCAACACTGCCTGCAGCAGAATTAGCAACAGCAATATCTAATATCGAATCTTTATTTAAGTCAGCAACGAAAATCGATCGTGGACCTGAATTCATACCAGTTGACAAAGTGGTAGCTATTGCAAAAGTTCCATCTGTGTGTCCTTGGAAGATACACAAATTTCCCTTTCCATAATTGGCAACGAGAATATCTAGAATACCATCTTTGTCAAAGTCGACAGTTGCAACTGCCATTGGGTACGAATCGCCAATCATCGAATAATTTCTTTTGTAGGCAAAAGATCCATTGCCGTAACCATGCAAAATGGCTATTTTGTGAATAAGCTGAAGCGCAACAACAATGTCTAAGTGTTCATCCTTATCAAAATCACCGACAGCAGTGCCCGTTGGCCCTGAATCGTAATCGACAAAGCAGGATATTTGATTAGAAAATGAACCGTCACCATGCCCAAGAAAAACAACAATATTATTAGCCCAGATATTGGAAACGATGATATCCACTTTTTTGTCGTGATTGACATCAGCAGTACTAACATCCCACGGACTTGATTTCGTACCAGTTGAATATATTGTTTGGTTGGAGAAGGTACCATTGCCTAATCCAAGACGAACACTTATACTGTTACTGTCTTTGTTAACAACAATAAAATCCAATTGATGGTCATTGTTAAAATCGTTGATAGATATAGCATTCGGCGAAGAGCCTTTACCTGTAGAAAAGGAAACGGGATCTCTGAATGCACCAAGATCATATTTGACAAATGTTAGGACATTATTGATGCCAGAATTAACAATGGCAATATCGACTTTCTCATCATTATTAAAATCGCCAATCGCCAGCGATTGTGGAGATGAACCACTTCCCGTTGTGTATGCCTTCGAACTTAGGAAACTCCCATTTTCATATCCGTACAAAATGCGTAGATTTCCTGCAGCAGAGTTAGCGATGACAACATCCAGTTTATAATCGTTATCAAGATCATCAACGGCGATTGCAGTTGGCGAGGATAAAACACCAGTAAGAAATGTTCTCTGCAATGGAAAACTTGCATTGCTATCTCCTAACAATATACCAATATTACCTAATCCATTATTCATCATAATTATATCTAAATGATGATCTTTATTGAAGTCTGCTAAAGCTACAGCTCGCGGATGAGAAGAGGACCCAGTTGAATATGTCATGTCACGTTCGCCACTCATATAAGCATGTCCTAAGAAAACACCCATAGTACCACTTTCACTGTTCGCAATTGCAATATCGACAAGACTATCATCATTAAAAAGTCCAAATGCCATTGAACTTGGACACGATGCATTGCCAGTCGCATAAGTTTTCTCAAAAGAAAATGTGCCATTGCCGTATCCTTTGAATAAAACTATATTGTTTGCAAGACAATTTCCAACAATAATATCTTGAAAACCATCTTTGTTCCAGTCTAAAATACTGCATGAATTCGGTCGGGAAAGACTACCAGTGGAATAAATGGCCACGTTTTCAAACGTTCCATTGCCTAATCCACGGAAAATACGAATATCATCACCAAGAAGAGTAGTAGTTACTAAATCAACGTAATCGTCGTTATTCAAATTACCAATCGACAGGCTGCTTGGTGCAAGGCCATTACTGAATGAATAGGCAATTTGATTGAAAAACGTTCCATTACTGTAGCCAAGAAAAATGGATAGATTAGGTGGATACGCGGCAATGACGACAATATCTAAATTATTGTCATTGTTCAAATCTTTAATACTAACACCATGTGGGAAAGAGTTATTTCCAATTGAATAAGTCATGTAAGGAGAAAAAGTACCATTGCCATAACCGAAAAAAATTTCGATGCTACTAAGTTGAGCATCGACAATAACCATATCTAGTTGGGTATCATTGTTAAAGTCGCCAAAAGCAGCAGCGACTAATAGAGTATCGTTTTCAGTCGAGTATATAGTCTGATTGGAAAAACTACCGTTACCATAACCAAAAAAGACTACAATGTTGTTTTCTGCGTTATTTACAACAACTATATCAAGATGTTTATCATTATTCAGATCACCGACATCGACACAAATTGGACCGGAATAAGCTCCTGTTGAATAAGTGGCTGAATGCGTAAAACTGCCATCGCCAGATCCAAGAAAAATATCGATACTGTCACTTTCGAAATTTGCTGTAACTATGTCCAAATAATTGTCGTCGTTGAAGTCCCCAGCTACATTATACGTCGGCTTGGATTTACCTCGGGTCGAATAGGTCTTCTGAGCGGTAAAATTGCCATTTCCGCATCCCATCAGAACACCGACATTACTGCCATCATAGTTTGAAATAATAATATCTATTAGACCATCTTTGTTCAAGTCATTCGCATCGACAAAGTATGGTTTAGAATCGCTTCCTGTGGAATAACTTCGTGTCCAAGAAAAATTTCCGTTCCCATATCCAATAAGAACGGCGATGCTGTCAGACTGAGAATTTGCCACAATTATATCAAGTCGTTGATCGTTGTTTATGTCCGAAATAGTCACCGACCATGGACCTGAATTGTATCCAGTTGAATATGCTTTGGTTAATATGAAACTTCCATTATTGTATCCGAATAAAATAGCTACTTGATTGGCATAGTTATTAGCAACAACAATATCCAGTAAATGATCTTCATTCAAATCAGCACAGGCGAAAGATCGTGGGCCTGAATAACGACCCGTTGAATAAGTGCGTTGCTTTCGAAAACTTCCATCTCCATATCCGATAAAAACACCGATATTGTTCGTTAAATAATTGGCAACAAGAATGTCAAGTATTTTATCATAATTAACATCGATAACAACGGTATAAAACGGTGCAGATTGGTTTCCAGTGGAATAAGTTTTTTGAGAAGAAAAACTGCCGTCACCGCGTCCTAGAAATATTCCAATAGTACTTGCGTCACTATTGACGACAACGATATCTAATTGCTTATCACGATTAAAGTCACCAATCGCCAATGAACGTGGTCTCGAATCTTCACCAGTCGAATACATAATAGGATCTGAGAATGTGGCATCGTAATTTCCCATTAAAACACTTATGCTATTTGCAATAAAGTTAGCAACGACAATATCTAATTGGGAATCGTTATTAAAGTCGCCATTAGCGATGGACCATGGCCCTGAATTATTCCCAGTTGAATAGGTAATCTGATCTTTGAAACTACCATCACCATGTCCGAGAAAAACTCCGATGTCATTAGTCAAATAATTCGCAACGACAATATCTAAACAATTATCATGATTGAAATCAGCCATTGTTATCGAAGTTGGCAGAGATTCTTTACCAGTTGTCCGGTAGGTCATTTGATTATAATAACCATAACTTTTCTGTGTGAAAACAATGTCCAAATAACTATAGTCGTAGTTAACTATTGCTATATCTGATTGAGTATCGTTATTAAAATCATAGGTAATCATTGAATACGGATTGCAATCTTTATTTGTATAAAATGTAGATTGATTGGAAAATGCTCCATGGCCATCACCATAAAAAATACTTAAATTTGGAATATTGTAATTGCCAACGATGATATCCGGGTGAGTATCATTGTTAAAATCACCAATCACGACAGATGAAGGTAAAGAATTATCTCCGGTTGAGTAAATTTCTGGTTTTATAAAACTTCCATTATTAAAGCCAAAGAAAATCTTCAAATTGTTGGTACCAGAACAGCTGACAGCTATATCCACATTTGTGTCATTGTTTAGGTCTTCTATATCAATTGCAGACGGGTGAGAATTTGCACCAGTATATAAAATAACTTGTTCTGAAAATGTTCCATCGCCATATCCAAAGAAAATACCTATATTATTTGTTCCATAATTAGTAACAATAATATCCAAACGATCGTCTTTGTTGAGATCTTTAATCATTAATGAGTATGGACTCGAATCGAATCCAGTTGATAAACGTAACCGTTCAAAGAAGTTTCCATTTCCGCCTCCTTCTAGAATACTGATATCGTTTGTACCATAGTTGACTATAACTAAATCAATATGCGAATCACGATTCAAATCCCCATTGGAGATATATCGTGGACGAGATTTTCCAATCGAAATCGATTTATTTAACATCAATGATCCATTACCATATCCGAAGAAAATCGAAATGCAGTTTGTACCGAAATTTGCCACAGCGACATCTAAATGATGATCTTGATTGAAATCGGCAACTGTTACTGAAGATGGCTTAGAATGTGGCCCNGGATGGGAGTCAGTATCAGTTGAATAGCTGATCTCGTGTGTAAAACTACCGTAACCTGATCCAAATAGTATTCTGATAGTATTTGTCGAGTTATCAGCAATAACAACATCTAGTCGAGTATCGTTATCAAAATCTCCAACAGCGAGAGACGTTGGTTGTGATGATGATCGTTCGATCGGATAAGACGGTGCACTGATGAAATCTTCCTGGACATAGCCGAAGAATAATCCAACATTATCAGTACCTGAGTTAGCAACAACAATATCCAAACGATGATCCGAATTAAAGTCAGTTACTGCAATAGCTAGTGGTTTGGAAGAATCTCCAGTAGGATAAGTTAGTTGATTGAAAAATGTTCCATTATTACATCCAAGAAATACTCCGAGGGTATTTGAGCCATAGTTCGCAACAGCAATATCAAGTTGAGAATCATGATTAAAGTCGCCAATAGAAATTCCATATGGCGCAGAGTCCTTGCCTGTCGAAAGAGGCATTTGATCAGAAAATGTACCATCACTATCGCCAAAAAATATGCCAACACTGCCTGCAGCAGAATTAGCAACAGCAATATCTAATATCGAATCTTTATTTAAGTCAGCAACGAAAACCGATCGTGGACCTGAATTCATACCAGTTGACAAAGAGGTAGCTATTGCAAAAGTTCCATCTGTGTGTCCTTGGAAGATACACAAATTTCCCTTTCCATAATTGGCAACGAGAATATCTAGAATACCATCTTTGTTAAAGTCCACAGTTGCAACTGCCATTGGATATGAATCGCCACTCGTCGAATAATTTCTTTTGTAGGCAAAAGATCCATTACCATAACCATGCAAAATGGCTATTTTGTGAATAAGCTGAAGCACAACAACAATGTCTAAGTGCTCATCCTTATCAAAATCACCGACAGCAGTGTCCGTTGGACCTGAATCGTAATCGACAAAACAGGATATTTGATTAGAAAATGAACCGTCACCATGCCCAAGAAAAACAACAATATTATTAGCCCAGATATTGGAAACGATGATATCCACGTTTTTGTCGTGATTGACATCAGCAGTACTAACACCCCACGGACTTGATTTCGTACCAGTTGAATATATTGTTTGATTGGAGAAGGTACCATTGCCTAATCCAAGACGAACACTTATACTGTTACTGTCTTTGTTAACAACAATAAAATCCAATTGATGGTCATTGTTAAAATCGTTGATAGATATGGCATTCGGCGAAGAGCCTTTACCTGTAAAAAAGAAAACGGGATCTCTGAATGCACCAAGATCATATTTGACAAATGTTAGGACATTATTGGTGCCAGAATTAACAACGGCAATATCGACTTTCTCATCATTATTAAAATCGCCAATCGCCAACGATTGTGGAGATGAACCAATTCCTGTTGTGTACGCCTTCGAACTTAGGAAACTACCATTTTCATATCCGTACAAAATGCGTAGATTTCCTTCAGCAGAGTTAGCGATGACAACATCCAGTTTATAATCGTTATCAAGATCATCAACGGCGATTGCAGTTGGCGAGGATAAAACACCAGTAAGAAATGTTCTCTGCAACGGAAAACTTGCATTGCTATCTCCTAATAATATACCAATATTACCTAATCCATTATTCATCATAGTTATATCTAAATGATGATCTTTATTGAAGTCTGCTAAAGCTACAGCTCGCGGATGAGAAGAGGACCCAGTTGAATATGTCATGTCACGTTCGCCACTCATATAAGCACGTCCTAAGAAAACACTCACAGTACTGCTGTTAAAGTCCACAACTGCAATATCGACAAGACTATCATCATTAAAAAGTCCAAATGCCATTGAACTTGGACACGATGCATTACCAGTCACATAAGTTTTCTCAAGAGAAAATGTGCCATTGCCATATCCTTTGAATAAAATTATGTTGTTTGCACGACAATTGCCAACAACAATATCTTGAAAACCATCTTTGTTCCAGTCCAAAATACCGCATGAAGTCGGTCGGGAAACACTACCAGTGGAATAAATGGCCACGTTTTCAAATGTTCCATTGCCTAATCCAAGGAAAATACGAATATCATCACCAAGAAGAGTAGTAGTTACTAAATCAACGTAATCGTCGTTATTCAAATTACCAATTGACAGGCTGCTTGGCGCTAGGCCATTACTGAATGAATAGGCAGTTTGATTGAAAAACGTTCCATTACCGTAGCCAAGAAAAATGGATAGATTGGGTGGATATGCGGCAATGACGACAATATCTAAGTTATCGTCATTGTTCAAATCTTTAATACTAACACCATGCGGCAAAGAATTATTTCCAATTGAATAAGTCGTGTAAGGAGAAAAAGTACCATTGCCATAACCGAAAAATATTTCGATGCTATTAAGTTGAGCATCGACAATGACCATATCTAGTTGGGTATCATTATTAAAGTCGCCAAAAGCAGCAGCGACTAATAGAGTATCGTTTTCAGTCGAGTATATGGTCTGATTGGAAAAACTACCGTTACCATAACCAAAAAAGACTACAATGTTGTTTCCTGCGTTATTTACAACAACTATATCAAGATGTTTATCATTATTCAGATCACCGACATCGACAAAATGTGGACCGGAATAAGCTCCTGTTGAATAAGTGGCTGAATGCGTAAAACTTCCATCACCAAATCCAAGAAAAATATCGATACTATCACTTTCAAAATTCGCTGTAACTATGTCCAAATAAGTGTCGTCGTTGAAGTCCCCAACTGCATTACACCTTATCTGGGATTTACCTCGAGTTGAATAGGTCTTCTGATCGGTAAAAGTGCCATTCCCGCATCCCATCATAACACCGACATTACTACCACCATAGTTTGAAATAACAATATCTATTAGACCATCTTTGTTCAAGTCATTCACATCGACAAAGTATGGTTCGGAATCGCTTCCTGTCGAATAACTTCGTGTCCAAGAAAAATTTTCGTTCCCATATCCAATAAGAACAGCGATGCTGTCAGATTGAGAATTCGCCACAATTATATCAAGTCGTTGATCGTTGTTGATGTCCGAAATAGTCACTGACCATGGACCTGAATTGTATCCAGTTGAATATACTTTGGTTAATATGAAACTTCCATTATTGTATCCGAATAAAATAGCTACTTGATTGGCATAGTTATTAGCAACAACAATATCCAGTAAATGATCTTCATTCAAATCAGCACAGGCGAAAGATCGTGGACCTGAATACAGACCCGTTGAATAAGTGCGTTGATTTCGAAAACTTCCATTTCCATATCCGATAAAAACACCGATATTGTTCGTTAAATAATTGGCAACAAGAATGTCAAATATTTTATCGTAATTAACATCGATAACAACGGCATAAAACGGTATGGATTGATTTCCAGTCGAATAAGTGTTTTGAGAAGAAAAACTACCGTCACCGTGTCCTAGAAATATTCCAATATTACTTGCGTCACTATTGACGACAACGATATCTAATTGCTTATCACGATTAAAGTCACCAATTGCCAATGAACGTGGTCTCGAATCTTCACCAGTCGAATACATAATCGGATCTGAGAATGTGGCATCGTAATTTCCCATTAAGACGCTTATGCTATTTCCATAAAAGTTAGCAACGGCGATATCTAATTGGGAGTCATTATTAAAGTCGCCATTAGCGATGGACCATGGTCCTGAATTATTTCCAGTTGAATAGGTAATCTGGTCCCTGAAACTGCCATCTCCATGTCCAAGAAAAACTCCGATATCATTAGTCAAATAATTCGCAACGACAATATCTAAACAATCATCATGATTGAAATCAGCCATTGTTATCGAACTTGGCAGAGATTCTGTACCAGTTGCTCGGTAGGTCTTTTGATTATAATAACCATAACTTTTCTGTGTCAAAACAATGTCCAAATAACTATAGTCGTAGTTAACTATCGCGATATCTAATTGAGTATCGTTATTAAAATCATAGGTAATCATTGAATACGGATTGCAATTTTTATTTGTATAAAATGTAGATTGATTGGAAAATGCTCCGTGTCCATCACCATAAAAAATACTTAAATTTGGAATATTGTAATTACCGACGATGATATCCGAGTGAGTATCATTGTTAAAATCACCAATCATGACAGACGAAGGTAAAGAATTATCTCCGGTTGAGTAGATTTCTGATTTTATAAAACTTCCATTATTAAAGCCAAAGAAAATCTTCAAATTGTTGGTACCAGAACAGCTGACAGCTATATCCACATTTGTGTCATTGTTAAGGTCTTCTATATCAACTGCAGACGGGTGAGAATTTGCACCAGTATATAAAATAACTTGTTCTGAAAATGTTCCATCATCATATCCAAAGAAAATACCTATATTATTTGTTCCATAATTAGTGACAATAATGTCCAAATGATTGTCTTTGTTGAGATCTTTAATCATTAATGAGTATGGACTCGAATCGAATCCAGTTGATAAACGTAACCGTTCAAAGAAGTTTCCATTTCCGCCTCCTTCTAGAATACTGATACCGTTTGTACCATAGTTGACTATAACTAAATCAATATGCGAATCATAATTCAAATCCCCATTAGAGATATATCGTGGACGAGATTTTCCAATCGAAATCGACATAGAAAATGTCAATGATCCATTACCATATCCGAAGAAGATCGAAATGCAGTTAGTACCGAAATTTGCCACAGCGACATCTAAGTGATGATCTTGATTGAAATCGGCAACTGTTACTGAAGATGGCTTAGAATGTGGACCAGTTGAGTATGTGATTTGATTCGTAAAGGTACCACCAGCTTGTCGGAGAAAAATTCCAATTGTATCCGAGCCGGAATTGGAAACTACAGCATCAACTAAATCGTCATGATTAAAATCGCCAATTGCAATTGACGTTGGATGGGAATCAGCGTTGATGAGATACTGAGCTTCAGATTTGATACTATATTTGCATGTTTTGCCTAGTCATATCATTACAAGAGTGTTTCTTTTCGATAGAAATAAACATACTTGGTGGTTTTGGNGTCGGAGAAAAATTCCAATTGTATCCGAGCCGGAATTGGAAACTACAGCATCAACTAAATCGTCATGATTAAAATCGCCAATTGCAATTGACGTTGGATGGGAATCAGCGTTGATGAGATACTGAGCTTCAGATTTGATACTATATTTGCATGTTTTGCCTAGTCATATCATTACAAGAGTGTTTCTTTTCGATAGAAATAAACATACTTGGTGGTTTTGGTGATGTATAACAAACAGTAAGAATGCCAATTAAGATGACTAGACTCGTGAATAGGCCGAATATGATTGCAGCTTTGATCGATGAAGTTAATGACGCCAAGAAACGGTGTCGCAACTGTCGTAAACGCAGAAGTTTGCCCGGAGGAAGAAGTTTTCTCTGATAAATTATCCTAGAAATATTTAATACTTTAGCAGATGGCCATGAAATCAAGTACATGAAACTTACTCCTTCCTCAGATTTTTCAGTACATCGTCGACATCATCTTCTGGCTTGAAACATTTCACATACGATTGCAGTTCTTTCAGAACGTTTTTGGAATAGATCAGTAATTGCATCCTAGTATTTCTATGCTAAGACAAACGTTGCACAACTGAGGTATAAACAAATATTTTTTATACGAGTAGGCACATACGTATATATATACCTTTTGATGTTATCGTTTGGAGGTCGTCACTCATGTTTTCGGACTAAAAATATTTCGCAAAAAGAGTCACAGTGAAGAGAAATACGATATTTTATATTGTTAGTATTCATATGACTAGATAATCGATATTATTTTTGAATAATGCAAAGAGTGTAATCGATAACGCACATTCTTCGTCACCACGCGTTGTTATATGGGGACCTTTTCATCAGTGACTATAGTCGACTATTCTTTTTTTTTCTATCATACGTAAATATAACGAGATGACTCATGAATAATTATTTGTTGTTATACAATCGTTAAACGTAGGATCGAGGAAATATCAGCGAAGATTTCTGTCAGTCATTTTTGTCATTGATATAAGTTTGTTTTCCGTTGAGCGTTTTCAACGTATCGTATTATCCAACACAATTCCAAAAACGAAAAATTTAACAAAAAATGAATGTATTAAGACTGAAAACAGTTGTATATTGCTATCGTCAAGGACCCTTGTATGATTAGACTGTTTCTACTAAATAGATTCATTTAATTGAATAGAATAGAAATTTTCATACCTTGGAATATAGTTTTACATCATATTACAGCTAGCATCAAAGAACGGTGCTTTAATTTGTAGTTTAGGACCAACGTCGACTCCAAAACCTAGCAATGATGCGTGTATACCATCAATTCCAACACTCACGCTTGTATTTGCTTACTAATGCCAATTCTAGTTATTGGTTCCCCATCTCTGCTACATAAGCCAGTAGCTGCACTTCTCCGTGATCTCTGGCATTAATGACCGTAGTTGATATTCGATTTTCATCGATCTTCTATTGCACGATTGTAACTTTATATTGACCTCCAAATTGACTTTTCAATATACGTTCTACTGCTTCAATCAGTTTTTCATTTAAACCAAACTTACCATACACAATGTCATTCCTTTGTGGACTTGTTGTTGGAAATCAAAAGCGTTCTTTCACATTAACAACTACATATATCTCTTCATTTGCTGTATAACAAACAGCGAGACAATCGTAACACTTTTCATTATCTGTACCACAATGATTATTTACATGTGATATGTTATCCAGTATCTTGCTTACACGTGCATTCAATTCATGTCAACTTGGATGTGACAAAACATCTGGATTTTTAACCCTGTATAGTGCTGCATTTCACTTGACGAATGTGCAATTTTCTATGTTCTGAATCATTTGTATCACTTGAATCTTCATTGACATCCATTGTGCTTGAAAAAAATAAAGATATTGGTATACGTATTAAAAGCATGAGAAGACGAAAAAGGCAAGCATGTCTTCTTATATTTGTCTGCCATTGAATTTTTTCCAGGGAATAATGGAAAAATCATATACAAGGTAACATTTTCATGAGTTATTAATCAAATGACTGCTGAGAGAACGAAAACAGAGATAAAAGTTCGCATAAATGTAAAGCGAATGAAACACATTGCTGTTAATGTGGGATTCTCTCAATATAATCATTATTGTATATTCCTCGAAAATGTTTTATATGATCGAGTGTCTAGTGGTCGCTTATTATCAGAGATAATTCCAAAACGAAGGTTCAGTGGAGGAATCAAATTTATCTCGCTGCATATCGAAAGTATATACGTTAAAGAATGGAATAGTTCTGCAGTCACATTCTTTTTCTTGTTCTATTGATACGTATCAACAAAAGAAAGTTTGAATCATTACCAAATGAAATAGTTATCGGCTGTTTTCAATATCTCAATGCACCTGAGATCTTTTATTCATTTGATCGACTCAACTTTCGTTTCAATTCACTTATTCGAAATTGTCCATTGTACGTTGATTTTTGTGAAGTGAGAAAATTCCAATTCAATGAATTTTGTCGAATAATTTCAACAAATCCCGAGTTGAAACAAAATATTATTTATTTACAACTATCAAATAAAACAGCATATGGACAAATCGATTCATTTCTGTCATTATTCTCATTGGCTGACTTTCTTCATCTTCGATCATTATCTTTAAATGGTATTCAAAGTGCTTACTGTCAAAATTTATTACTTGGATTACAATCTTTAACTAATTTGCATCGACTTACTTGCAATGAAGTAAGAAGACATTCTCCACATATCACACGAGTTCTATTCCAATCAAACATTTATTTTTCTTCAATATTTCCAAATGATATGATGATGCCATATAAATTACTAAACTAATTACATGTTGATATTAAAATATTTGAAAATAAACCATTTACAAGATAATCAAATAAATGTGAATCAGAGTGACAAGGCTTTAAAGTTTTGTTTTGATGTCATTTCTTCTTATCAATATCAAGCTTTGCGCACCAGATTTAAACAATTTCAAAATGAGTTTTGGCATCAAGATCGTCAGTGGTATAGTGACTATGAAATCCATTACTGTTCATCAACAGTTTATACACTTCCATATATGCACAATGATTATACATTAAGAGGTATTCGTAATGAAAGTGAATATGATAGGTCAGATCGATTTGATAATGTCAATAAACTATCTATATGGACAGAAATAATTCCTCGTGGTCCATCTTTGTACTTCAAAAAGGTCACAACGTTACGATTAACAAATGGACTTAAGATTGGTGGTGAAACAGATGAGTATCAATTACAAACATCAGATCTTTTGTTTTTTGATATGATCGTTAATGTATCAAATGTCAAACATTTAATAATTGCTGAAGAATGTTACATGTCATCATCAGAAGTATTATTATGTTTATTAGAACAATTACCATGTGTATCATCATTAACCATTTGTCAGGATCAGTTGATGTCATATCTCAGCGATTGGCAATTATGCAAATGTTTAAATAATAAAATCAAAACACTAGATACTGGTTTACACTCGATGTGGAGTAATTTTTATGATCGGTTCAGTGATGTGAATCTATTTAGTAAAACATTTTCAAATGTTGAAACACTCAATGATCTATTATTAATAGTATCTAATTGTTCGAAATTATCAACGATGTACATTGGAAACACAAATGCAGAAATATCGTCATGGATTAAAAAGAATGCATCAACATTAAACGTTTATATTAATTATTTGTTTTTTCCTGAAGAAAGTGATGAATATTAACAACAGACTTTTATTATAACTTCGCGTTTTTTTAAATTTATTTAATCAGTAAAGATGCTCATAAAATAGTTGCTAATATCTTTACTATTTATAATATGAATATTTACTCTTGATTAACACAGATTTTCTTGTTGGATTCTTAGAAAACTGTCACTTCAGTTTTTGATCGCTCTTTAATTGCTAGTTTTTCATCTAATGAAGTTTATATACAATTTTGAGCAATAGCCAGTCTTTTTATGTAAGCATCCACTGTGAGCCGTCAAACAGGGTCATCACAATGGCGACAGCTCAATAGCCGCTGATCCTCTACTGAGAAAATATTACTCGATATCTTCTGCGTAGGATACTTTTGAGTAGGATTCGATGTTTTCTTCAGTCGATTGATTTCAACCAAACTAACACTGGTTCCAAGTACAACTTCATGAGTTCTATCGGTTTCAAAAATATAATTTTTCAAGTAGGATATCTTTCTGCATCTCACCCACACCCTCACCCCACTTTCTTACTCAGATTTGTAAACCCGACAAACTTACAACAACAAGAGAAACATGATCTTTTCTTAAAGTTGAGATAAAAACAATTTCTTTAACGACATTTCTATGTTTGCATTGAACGATGTTTATTTAAAGACAATATTTGAAAACAGCCTCTTCTGTTCATTAATGATTTCGCGGAAAATTTTCCTTCGGAATCTTATATGCTACTTTTCTTGTTTATTTTAAGAGTTTTCAAAAGAGAAAATCAGATTTTTCACTGAAAATGTCCTCAAATAAAAGTATGAATGTTACATTTGATCATATAGTTCTTTTTTTCAACAATCAAAACCCTGACATATAAAGCTTGTTTAAAACTGAGACAATTTTTCAAAATGTTCGTCAAAAAAACTCTTCAATTATTGATTCACTTGTTCGTTCTCACACAAATTGCAGGTAAATGTCTTTATAGCTACAATTAAAGCTATACTTTTCTTTGCAATGGAGGTTATTCATACAATCGACCTGTGCTTCATTGTGATTCGACATGGAATCCAAATGGTACAACCGTCCTAAATGAAACTCTCATCGGATCAAATCTATTTGATCTGTTCATCGATCAGAATAATTCAATTTATATTCCAAATCAAAATAACGGGCAAATCCTTATGTTTCCTCAAGGAAACTTCAGTTCAATGCAACATATTTCACTTAATTTAATAAATGCATCAAATTTGTTTGTAACAGGAGAAGGTGACATTTATGTTGATACATTTTATTCATCAGCCAGTGTGATAAGTGAAATGAAATCGAATTCGGCAAGTTTAAGTTCAATCTCAAGAATGAATATCTGCCAACAATGTTTTGATATTTTTATAAGTGACAATCAAATTCTTTATTGTTCACTATCTGAACGCCATCAAATCATTTCGAAATCGTTAATCAATCAATGGAATCATTTGGTAATTGCTGCAGGAACGGGAAGTGCTGGTTCAACATCAAACACACTTCAAAATCCTCGAGGAATTTTTCTTGATGAAACTAATCAAGATTTATATGTTGCAGATTGTGGAAATGACCGAGTTCAAGTTTTTAAATCTCAAAAATTAACTGGAACAACCAAAGTTGGAAATGGATCTTCAAATATTACATTTGATCTCAGATGTCCAACAGGAATTGCATTGGATAGTCAAAGTTATTTATTTATTGTTGATTCTCATAATAATCGAATAATCGGACAAAATTCCAACGGTTTTCGTTGTTTGGCCGGATGTTATCAATCAGTGGGACCAAGTTTAAATCACCCACTGAGTCTTAGTTTTGATTCCACGGGCAATATTTTTGTTGTCGATCAACGAAATAACCGAATTCAACAATTTGATTTGCTGAATAATTCAGCACGTAAGTTAAGACAGATAAAATATCCACTAAACTTTGATAGTTCTTGTAATCAAATCAATTCAATGTTCAATCTTTCGTTTTCATCATTTATGAACTTTTTGAGAAGAGAAATCGTTCCCCTCCATTTTAGGACAGATCTCTGCCTAGGAATATATATCCCTATCACGTTTTCAAAGCATCTTTGAGGACATCTTTGATTATACGCAGGTTTATTCTATTCTGTTTGAGACCGAGTATTAAATTACCATAGTGATCAGTGTGCACTCATGATCTCCGACTGCTTATAAAGGCGTGGAAGACTAAATTTAATAGAGATACATTACCGAAAGCTGCATTTTATTTGAGAAATAACTGTGTACCAAATAAATATGGGTTTACTTCGTAAGGACATCCTCACGCCGTCATCAACGAGCGTAGATACAAATCTGAGAGCGTTTATATCATTGAATTACATAATATTAAACTTATTTTGATGCAGCTCCACTTACTCTTGCTGGCGTTCAACTCAATCTCAATCCTTCCTTGTTACCAAGTGGATGGTCTTTATGTTATTCAGCAACATATGCAACAGTTATTGGAACAAGTTCCCTTCCGACGATCTTATCGTCATGCAATAGAACCAACTTATTACTTGGATGTCGACCGGTCGGTAAAGTGAATTTGACTATAGCAGCGATGGGTCATCGAAATGATGTTCTATACAACTGTGGATCCTTATCTAGTTGTACCCATATTGCGAACGGTGTTGGTTGGTATTATTCAGATTCATATTCATGGGGTTTCGTATCTGGTTGTGACAATGTAATACGATCCAGCTGTGATACTGCATCAACAAATGCTATTTATCGATTATGTTGGCATACTCAAAATGATGGTGGATATAGATGTGGTTTAACAGCGGGACTTAATAGCAATACATCTTGGGAAAAAGTTATATATCATGCGAACTGAATAAAACACATGATCATTGATTAAAAACAAATTGTATCTTTTTATATAGTCACAGTATTTTAGTACGATTTTAACTTGACACTGATTTCCAACCAAGATTCGGAACGAATCTAAAAATATAGACCGGTTCGATCCAAAATTGTCCGCCCCCGACTTACGATAAGATTGATTTCGAAAGGTCAACTAATCCATGTGGTGTAAAACATTCAACCGCAATTATACTTAACAGAATTTTATGTAGAAAACATAAAAGAAGAAACGACGATGGAACGGACCGGGCTATTCGTTTCGACCCCTAGCGGAAACTATCAAGTTTGTTGAGTATATTCAAGTCTGTATTGGATATGTATATAGGTTATACATGTAGATAGGCGTCAAAAAACAAATTTCCTAGAGTCTAATTTTTCACCCTCTTTTAAAAATGCATCTACATCCGAAAGACTCTAGTTACGTGATCGTGATGTCGAAATACACATTATGATACACCGTTATGCATTCGATTTTTCTTTTTCTTTCGAACGAAACAGTACTTTTTATTATTAATACGTGTTCGCTGATTATGAAAAACAAACTAATACAAAACCTATTTCATGAAATCAAAGTACGTGCAAGCATCGGGAGGGCGTACTGTCGTTTTCGTTCTCGTCTTCCTTGTTGAGAAAAAGGAAGGTTTTTCTTACGCGCATAAATATGTGACCAGTTACCGTCAGTATACTTCACCGGATTTCACCTTTCTTATATATTTGAGACTGTCTATCGACATGTGATATAAAAGATGAGTCATAGTAATTATCGATATTTTTCATTACAAGATGATGATCCTACTGGTACCGGCAATATTTTGATTTGGCTCGATGAAAAAGCATTGGATCCCACGTCACCTAATACTCAACTTATGATTGATATGCTCAAAAGCATATCGAATATTAATTGCAAATTGTACAACAGTGTAGAATTATTCCTTGCAGAAGCTAATACTATAGCTAGAACAGGCAGAGTGATACTTGTTACATCTGGATGGTTCGCAGAGAGACTATTTCCTGAATTATCTATATCATTACTACGGGCAATTTCCGTCATCTGTATCTTCTGCAAAGATTCAAGAAATTATCAACATTTACAAAAGAGATATCGGAAAATCGTCGGTGTTTTTACAGAAGAACAATACTTGAAAGAAGCGATTGAGGATGAATTGAACCCATCGTCAGATTTCTTTGTCACGGATCAACATCTAAGTCCTCACTTTGTTCTTAGTGATGATCGTCAAGAATTTAAATTCTATAAACAATATATTGAACTGTTGCAAAATTATCCATAGACATCGGATAATAGAAAAAAAAAGATGCTACCCAGAGAAGACAGATCGATGAATTCCAATACAGTTATATACCTGAGACAGCAATTAAATGGTATACTAAAGATAGTTTTCTATATCGTTTGGTGAATAAAGTATTGCGATCGTTGGATATGGAACAGATTATTNGATGATCTTGATTGAAATCGGCAACTGTTACTGAAGATGGCTTAGAATGTGGACCAGTTGAGTATGTGATTTGATTCGTAAAGGTACCACCAGCTTGTCGGAGAAAAATTCCAATTGTATCCGAGCCGGAATTGGAAACTACAGCATCAACTAAATCGTCATGATTAAAATCGCCAATTGCAATTGACGTTGGATGGGAATCAGCGTTGATGAGATACTGACCTTCGGATTTGATACTATATTTGCATGTTTTGCCTAGTCATATCATCACTAGAGTGTTGTTTTTTTCGATAGAAATGAACATACCTGGTGGTTTCGGTGATGTATAACAAACAGTAAGAATGCTAATTAAGATGACTAGACTCGTGAATAGGCCGAATATGATTGCAGCTTTGCCCGATGAAGTTAATGACGCCAAGAAACGGTGTCGCCACTGTCGTAAACGCAGAAGTTTGCCCGGATGAAGAACTTTTCTCTGATAAATTATCCTAGAAATATTGAATACTTTAGCAGATGGCCATGAAATCAAGTACATGAAACTTACTCTTTCCTCAGATTTTTCAGTATATCGTCGACATCATCATCTTTTGGCTGAAAAGATTTTACGTACGATTGTAATTTTTTCCAAACGGTTTTACAATACATCAGTAATTGCGTCCTGGTATTTCTATGTTAATACAAACATTGCACAGGTCAGATATAAACAAATATTCTTGATACGAGTAGACACATACGTATATATATATACCTTTTGTTGTTGTTGTTCGAAGGTCGTCACCCATGCTTTCGGACTAAAAATATTTCGCAAAAGGAATCACAGTGAATAGGCATATGATATTCTATATTGTTAGTATTCATAGGACAAGATAATCGATGCTATTTTTGAATAATGCAATAAAGCAAAGAGTGTAATCGATGACGCACATTGTTCGTCGCCACGTGTTGTTATATACGTATCTTTTCATCAGTGAATATAGTCGATTATTCTTTTTTTTGTCTATCAGACGCAAAAATATCGAGATGACTCGTGAATAATTATTCGTTGTTATACAATCGTTAAACGTAGGATCGAGGAAGTATCAACGAAGATTTCTGTACGCCATTCTTGTCATTGATATAAGTTTGTTTTCCGTTGAGCGTTTTCAACGTGTCGTATTATCCAACACAATTCCGAAAACGAAAAATTTAACGAAAAATGAGTGCATTAAAACTGAAAACAGATTTATATTGCTATCGTCAAGGACCCTCGTATGATTAGACTGTTTCTACTAAATAGATTCATTTAATTGAATAGAATAGAAATTTTCATACCTTGGAATATAGTTTTACATCATATTACAGCTAGCATTAAAGAACGGTGCTTTAATTTGTAGTTTATGACCAACGCCGACTTCAAAACCTAACAATGATGCGTGTATAGCATTAATTCCAATACTCACGCTTGTATTTGCTTGCTAATGTCAATTTTAGTTATTGATTCCCCATGCTCTGCTGCATAAACCAGTAGCTGCACTTCTCCGTGATCTCTGGCATTAGTGGCCGTAGTTGATATTCGATTTTCATCGATCTTCTATTGCACGATTGTAACTTTATATTGACCTCCAAACTGACTTTTCAATACACGTTCTACTGGTTCAATCAGTTTTTCATTTAAACCAAATTTACCATACACAATGGCATTCCTTTGTGGGCTTGTTGTTAATGGAAATCAAAAGCGTTCTTTCACATTAGCAGCTACATATATCTCTTCATTTGCTGTATAACAAACAGCAACACGATCGTAACACTTTTCATTATCTGTACCACAATGATTATTTACATGTGATACGTTATCCAGTATCTTGCTTGCACGTGCATTCAATTCATGTCTACTTGGATGTGACAAAACATCTGGATTATGTAACCCTGTAGTGTTGTATTTCACTTGACGAATGTGTAATTTTCTATATTCTGAATCACCTGTATCACCTGAATCTTCATTGGCATCCATTGTGCTTGAAAAAAATAAAGATATTGGTATACGTATTAAAAGCATGAGAAGACGAAAAAGACAAGCATGTCTCCTTATATTTGTCTGCCATTGAATTTTTTCCAGGGAATAATGGAAAAAACCATATACAAGATAACATTTTCATGAGTTATTAACCAAATGACTGCTGACAGAACGAAAACAGAGATAAAAGTTCGCATAAATGTAAAGCGAATGAAACACATTGCTGTTAATGTGGGATTCTCTCAATATAATCATCGTTGTATATTCCTCGAAAATGTTTTATATGATCGACTGTCTAGAGGTCGCTTATTATCAGAGATAATTCCAAAACGAAAGTTCAGCGGAAGAATCAAATTTATCTCGCCGCATATCGAAAGTATATACGTTAGAGAATAGAATAGTTCTGTAAACACATTCTTTTTCGCGTTCTATTGATACGTGTGAGTAAAAGCAAGTTTGAATCATTACCAAATGAAATAGTTATCGACTGTTTTCAATATCTCAATGCACCTGAGATTTTTTTTATTCATTTGATCGACTAAACTTTCGTTTCAATTCACTTATTCGAAATTGTCCATTGTATGTTGATTTTTGTGAAGTGAGAAAATTCCAATTCAATGCATTTTGTCGAATAATTTCATCAAATCCCTAGTTGAAACAAAACATTATTTATTTACAATTATCAAATAAAACAGCATATGGACAAATCGATTCATTTCTGTCATCATTCTCATTGGCTGACTTTCTTCATCTTCGATCATTATTTTAAAATGATATTCAAAGTGCTTATTGTGAAAATGTATTACTTGGATTACAATCTTTAACTAATTTGCATCGACTTACTTACACTAAAGCAAGAAGACATTCTCCATCAACGTATGCCAAACTTGAAAATCTTTTCAATATATTCACAAGATGATATTCAAATGATTGATGCTGATCGATGGCAGAATTTAATTGAAAACTATTTATCCTTCTCAAAGATATTCAAGTTTTGTTTTGATGTCAGTTCTTCTTGTCAATATCAAGCTTTATGCATCAGATTTAAACCAATTTCAAAATGAGTTTTGGCATCAAGAACGCGTCGGTGGTATAGTGACTATGAAATCCATCACTGTTCATCAACAGTTTATACACTTCCATATATGTACAATGATTGTACATTAAAAGGTATTCGCAATGAAAGTGAAAATGATGGATCAGATCGATTTGATAATATCAGTAAACTATCTATATGAACAGAAAGAAATCCTCGTGGTCCACCTTTGTACTTCAAAAAGGTTAAAACGTTACGATTAACAAATGGACTTAACATTGGTGGTGAAACAGATCTTTATGTTTCTTGATATGATCGTTAATGTATCAAATGTCAAACATTTAATAATTGCTGAAGAATGTTACATGTCATCATCAGAAGTATTATTATGTTTATTAGAACAATTACCATATGTATCATCATTAACCATCCGTCAGGATCAGCTGATGTCATATCTCAGCAATTGGCAATGATGCAAATGTTTCAATGATAAAATCAAAACACTAGATACTGGTTTACACTCGATGTGGAGTCATTTTTATGATTGGTTCAGTGATGTGAATCTATTTAGTAAAACATTTTCAATTGTTGAAACACTCAATGATCTATTATTAATAGTATCTAATTGTTCGAAATTATCAACGATGCACATTGGAAACACAAATGCAGAAATATCTTCATGAATTAAAAAGAATGCATCGACATTAAACGTTTATATTGATTATTCGTTTTTTCCTGAAGAAAGTGATGAATATTAACAACAGACTTTTATTATAACCTCGCATTTTTTAAAATTTATTTAATCAGTAAAGATGCTCATAAAATAGTTGCTAATATCTTTACTATTTATAATATGAATATTTACTCTTGATCAACACAGATTTTTTTGTTGGATTCTTAGAAAACTGTCACTTCAGTTGCTGCGGTTTTTCATCTAATGGAGTTTGTATACAGTTTTGAACAATAGCCAACCTTTTTATGTAAGCATTCACTCTGAGCCGTAAACAAGGTCATCACAATGAAGACAGCTCAATAGCCGCTGATCCTCTACTGAGAAAATGTTACTCGATATCTTCTACGTAGGATACTTTTGAGTAGGATTCGATGTTTTCTTCAGTCGATTGCTTTCAACCAAACTAACACTGGTTCCAAAAATAAAATTTTCAAGTAGGATATCTTTCTGCATCTCACCCACACCCTTGTCGATTCTTTAAAAGAATCGATCGAAGTCGTTTTCAATTCTATCGCTGAATTGATTTGAACTGCTTTGCTTGATCTCTCCAAAATAAATCACGTGCGATTGACGGCGTCGATATCATCTGACTTTCTTAATCAGATTTTTAAACCCGACAAACTTACAACAAAAAGAGAAACATGACTTTTTTTTAAAGTTGAGATAAAAATAATTTCTTTAACGACATTTCTATGTTTGCATTTGACGATGTTTATTTAAAGACAATATTTGAAAGCGGTCTCTTCTGTTCATTAAAGATTTCGCCGAAAATTTCCCTTCAACACCGGATAGGCGACTTTTCTTGTTTATTTTAAGAGTTTTCAAAAGAGAAAATCAGATTTTTCACTAAAAATGTCCTGAAATAAAAGCATGAATGTTATATTTGCTCATATACTTCTTTTTCTCAACAATCAAAACCTGACATATAAAACTTGATTAAAACTGAGACAATTTTTCAAAATGTTCTTCAAAGAAACCCTTCAATTATTGATTCACTTGTTCATTCTCACACAAATTGCAGGTAAATTTCTTTATAACTACAATTAAAACTATGCATTTCTTTACAATGGAGGTTATTCATACAATCGACCTGTGCTCTGTTGTAATTCGACATGGAATCCAAATGGTACAACCGTCCTAAATGAAACTCTCATTGGATCAAATCTATTTGATCTGTTCATCGATCAGAATAATTCAATTTATATTCCAAATCAAAATAATGGACAAATCCCTATGTTTCCTCAAGGAAACTTCAGTTCAATGGAACATATTTCACTTAATTTAATAAATGCATCAAATTTGTTTGTAACGGGAGAAGGTGACATTTATATTGATACATTTTATTCATCAGTCAGTGTGATAAGTGAAATGAAAGCGAATTCGACAAGTTTAAGTTCAATCCCAAGAATGAATTTCTGCCAACAATGTTTTGATTTTTTTATAAGTGACAATCAAATTCTTTATTGTTCACTATCTGAATACCATCAAATCATTTCGAAATCGTTAATCAATCAATGGAATCATTTGGTAATTGCTGCAGGAACAGGAAGTGCTGGTTCAACATCAAACACACTTCAAAATCCTCGAGGAATTTTTCTTGATGAAACTAATCAAGATTTATATGTTGCAGATTGTGGAAATGACCGAGTTAAATTTTTTAAATCTCAAACATTAACTGGAACAACCAAAGTTGGAAATGGATCTTCATATATCACATTTGATCTCAGTTGTCCAACAGGAATTGCATTGGATAGTCAAAGTTATTTATTTATTGTTGATTCTCATAATAATCGAATAATCGGACAAAATTCCAACGGTTTTCGTTGTGTGGTCGGATGTTATCAATCAGTGGGATCAAGTTTAAATCACCCACTGAGTCTTAGTTTTGATTCCACTGGAAATATTTTTGTTGTAGATCAACGAAATAACCGAATTCAACAATTTGATTTGCTGAGTAATTCAGCACGTAAGTTAAGACAGATAAAATGTCCACTAAACTTTCATAGTTCTTGTAATCAAATCAATTCAATGTTCGATCTTTCGTTTTCATCATTTATGAATTTTTTGAGAAGAGAAATCATTCCCCTCCATTTCAGGGCAGATCTCTGCCTAAGAATATATATCCCTATCACGTTTTCAAAGCACCTTTGAGGATATCTTTGATTATAAGCAGGTTCATTCTTGATTTATCTCCGTTCATCCAAAGAGTTCAATTTTTTCTTCAGAAAAACATTTGCATATGTCGAAGATGTGCCGTTATTCTATTCCATTTGAGACCGAGTATTAAATTACCATGATGATCAGTGTGCACTCATGATCTCCGACTGCTTATAAAGGCTTGGAAGACTAAATTTAATAGAGATACTTTACTGAAAGCTGCACTTAATTTGAGAAATAACTGTGCACCAAAGAAATAGGGGCTTACTTCATAAGCACACCCCACGCTCTCATCATCTTCATCAGCGAGCGTAGCTGCAAGTCTGAGAGTGTTTATATCATTGAATTACATAATATTAAACTTATTTTGATGTAGCTCCACTTACTCTTGCTGGCGTTCAACTCAATCTCAATCCTACGTTGTTACCAAGTGGATGGTCTTTATGTTATTCAGCAACATACGCAACGGCTATGGGAACAAGTTCCCTTCCGACGATTTTATCGTCGTGCAATAGAACCAACTTATTACTTGGATGTCGACCGATCGGTACAGTGAATTTGACTATAGCAGCGATGGGTCATCGAAATGATGTTCTATACAACTGTGGATCCTCATCTAGTTGTACCCATATCGCGAACGGTGTTGGTTGGTATTATTCAGATTCGTACTCATGGGGTTTCGTATCTGGTGGTGACAATGTAACACGAAATCACTGTGATAGTGCATCAACAAATGCTATTTATCGATTATGTTGGCATACTAAAAATGATGGTGGATATAGATATGGTTCAACAACGCTACTTAATAACAATACATCTTGGGAAAAAGTTATATATCATGCGAACTGAATAAAACACGTGATTATTAATTAAAAACAAATTGTATCTTTTTATATAGTCACAGCATTTTAGTACGATTTTAACTTGACACTGATTTCCAACCGAGATTCGAAACGGATCTAAAAATATAGACCGGCTCGGTCGAAAATTGTCCGTCCCGACTCACGATAAGATTGATTTCGAAAGGTCAACTAATCCATGTGGTGTAAAACATTTAATCGCAATTTTCCTAGAGTCTAATTTTTCAGCGTCTTTTAAAAATGCATCTACATCCGGAAGACTCTAGTTACGTGATCGTGATGTCGAAATAGACATTATGATACACCGTTATGCATTCGATTTTTCTTTTTCTTTCGAACGAAACAGTACTTTTTATTATTAACACGTGTTCGCTGATTATGAAAACAAAACTAATACAAAACCTATTTCATGAAATCAATGTACGTGCAAGCATTGGGAGGGCGTACTGTCGTTTTCGTTCTCGTCTTCCTTGTTGAGAAAAAGGAAGGCTTTTCTTACGCGCATAAATATGTGACAAGTTACCGTCAGTACACTTCACTGGATTTCACCTCTCTTATATATTTGAGACTGTCAATCGATACTCTCATATAACAAACAATCTATCGACATGTGATATAAAAGATGAGTCATAGTAATTATCGATATTTTTCATTACAAGATGATGAACCCACTACAAATCCTACTGGTACGGACAATATTTTAATTTGGCTCGATGAAAAAGCATTGGATTCCACGTCACCTAATACTCAACTTATGATTGATATGCTCAAAAGCATATCGAATATTAATTGCAAATTGTACAACAGCGCAGAATTATTCCTTGCAGAAGCTAATACTATAGCTAGAACAGGCAGAGTAATACTTGTTACATCTGGATGGTTCGCAGAGAGACTATTTCCTGAATTATCTATATCATTACTACGGGCAATTTCAGTCATCTGTATCTTCTGCAAAGATTCAAGAAATTATCAATATTTACAAAAGAGATATCGGAAAATCGTCGGTGTTTTTACAGAAGAACAATACTTGAAAGAAGCGATCGAGGACGAATTGAACCCATCGTCAGAGTTCTTTGTCACGGATCAACATCTAAGTCCTCATTTTGTTCTTAGTGATGATCGTGAAGAATTTAAATTCTATAAACAATATATTGAACTGTTGCAAAATTATCCATGGACATCGGATAACAGGAAAACGATGCTGGATGAATGTATAAAACATTACCGAAAAGATGCTGCGCAGAGAAGAAGGATCGATGAATTCCAATACAGTTATATACCTGAGACAGCAATTAAATGGTATACTAAAGATAGTTTTCTATATCGTTTGGTGAATAAAGTATTGCGATCGTTGGATATGGAACAGATTATTATCTTTCGACCTTTTATCAGAGAT